TGTCTGGCCGCACAGTATTTCCCGCGCAACGAGAAGTACATCTCGATCGTGAAGGAAATGACCGACCCCAAGGTGCTCGAGAAGCGGAACGAGATCAAGAAGCGGGTGCAGGCCTACGTCCAGGAGAAGAAGGACAAGGGCGAGGCTCTCACCGAGGAAAGCGAAGCCGAGGGCGAGCTCGAGGGCGCAGAACAGACCGAAGCCGCCGCGGAAGCGGAAGGCGAAGAGAAAGAAGAGGAGGAGGTGGATGAGGCCGCCACGACGAAAAAGAATGAAGACGAGGCCACTGCCGAGAACGGCGAAGAGGAGCAAGAGAACGAAGAGGAAGACGACTTCTTCGTGGAAGAGAAGGCGACGGAGGTGAAGAAGACCGATGCCAAGCCAGCCACGCCCGCCAAGGCCGCTGAGGCCAAGCCCGCCGCCAAGGCCAAGCCCGCCACTCCAGCTAAGGCCGAGGCCAAGCCCTCTATCACCCCGGTCAAGGCCAAGCCTGCCACTCCTGCCAAGACCAAGCCCGCCACTCCTGCCAAGGCCAAGCCCTCTATCACCCCGGCCAAGGCCAAGCCCGAGACTCCCGCCGCTAAGACTGTGACAACGACACCAGCGAAGCCTTCGCCGGAGGATGCTACGGGCCCCAGCACGCCAACGGTGTCGACGACGACCGCCACCACCACACCAACCACTCCCACTGCGGCTACCGCTGGCGAAGCTCAACTGACGTCGGCGCAGAAGAAGCGGCTGAGGAAGAAGCGAAAGTCGGGCCAAATTGAGGGAGCCAAGGAGGAGACCACCGCCACGACTGCGACGACGACGACGACGACAACAAAGACGACCAACACGGCCGCCGCCGCAGTCGCACCTGCGACCCTCAAGGCCGATGCCATCCAGCAGGCCAAGGCCGACCTTGCGCCGCAGGCCGAGGCGGAAACGGTCTCGGAGACCACCACGCAGGAGGCCAAGGCCACCACCCCCGCCAAGAAGAGGAGGCGAAGCCGCGGCAAGACTGCCGCTAATCCTGCCGCCGCCGCCGCGGCCGATGCCAACAAGATGGACGTCGTGCCGACCAAGGAGCCCGCGTCCAGCCCGGCCCAACCTACGAAGAAGGCAACGGCCAGCCCCGCGAAGAAGCAGGCGCCGAGCCCGGCTGCTGCCAAGAAGGGGACGGCCAGCCCCGCGGCCAACAACAAGCGAAAGGCCGCGGCTGCCGCGCAGCCCGTGAAGGCCGCTCCCGCTCCTCCCGCCGCGCCCGCCGAGGATGACACTGATGAGGTTACAGAGGTGCCCTCGCGCAAGAAGAAGAGAAGGTACCCTAATCCTCTTCTCTCTTCTTCTCTCCTTCTCTCACTCTCTCTTCTTGCTGATGACGATTGTTTGTGTGGTGTGTGCGCCATCACGATGCACGTAACAGCGGTGGAGCGTTTGACCCGAAGGTGGCCAAGAATCTGGCCAGCCGGCAGCAGGCCGCCGAAGCTGCCGCGCCGCTACCGGAGAAGAGCCACACCAAGTTCCAGTGAGCCCCCAATCCTTGCGTTGTCACAACCAGCTTGATTGAACGATCAACATCAACTCTACTCCCTGTCCACCTTCTTCTTTGGTTTGTTGTGCTTCGACGGATGCGCCGGTTTATAGTGCGAAGGCACAACCTGAGTTGTTACATACGTCCTGGTGTGCAGGCAGAACGAGTAGTGGTGTTCCTCTCTACTTGTTCCTCTTCGAGCGGAAGGCCCAGAGAACCTTGGCGGTCTCGTCGCCTCGCCTCTCCTTGCGCGCCTGCTCCTTGACGACCTTCTTGGCCTTGCGCTTCTCGGCCTGATCCTCTTCGAACACGTCGTCATCCTCGTCGTCGTCGGAGAGCGCCAGGCCCTCGTCCAGCTCGCGCACCTTCACGCTCTTGAGCTCCGACTCCAGGACTCTCTGCTTGCTGCCCCACGCCGCAAACTTCTGCTTCTTATCCTCCGAGCCCATGGCCACCTTCCTCATCAACTTGGTGTGCGTGAAGTTCTCCAGGCGAGCTGCAATAAAGCAAACGAGACGGGCGTGGTTAGGGGCCAATAACGATCACAGTCGGCACGAACGAGCAAGCGGGAACCATACCAGCGGTGTACTCGCCCTTCTGTGCGATCTTGGCCGACTTCTGCACGGCGTTGAGACCCAGCACGTCGACGTTGGCGGCCAACTCGGCCTGCTCCCTGTCGCGGGTGGCCTTCTGCTCCCGCGAGATGATGCGGATGCACTTCATGCCGTCGAGCTTCGTGTAGCGGATCTGCACGCCGCGCGCATAAGAAAACGAGTTAGACTCTACTCTCAGCACCTGCTGGTACACCAATACAAGTACTTGGAGTGAAGTGGGCTGTTGCTGCGTACCTGAAGCTGGAAGGGCAGAGCGCTCAGCTCAAGATCGATGCCCAGGGCCTTGGCCTCTTCGATGGGGCGCACGCCAAACTCAAAGGTAAGGCGCTCTCGGTGGTGACGTTACCCACATCGCGCGTGATGAAGCTGTCCTTCGTGGTGGACTGCTCCTTTTCGTCTTCACCGTCCTCAGCGCGGACAAAGAGGCCCTTGTGGAGGATCAGCTTCACGCCCACGTTGGTGGCGATGATGGGCTGCGACAGGATCGACGAGAACTCCTGCGTGATACGGAGAGGATCTGCAGATTCAAGACATGTTGTGTCAGTTAGCTGTACAGTCCTGAGTCATGAGTGCAGCGGCCCTACGCACCGACGATGTTGACGCCTCCGTTGGTCTTCTCGGAGAGAGCGCCGAGCTGCTCCATGCGGCAGTCCTGCCCCTTGATACCGATAATGGAGATGGTGACACCGTGCAGCACTGCAAAGTCTCTGTTCACCGAGCACATGGTAGGATCAGTACGTGTGTGTGTGTGTGTGCAAGCTGTGGTTGCCCATCCGTGGCCACATAGCGTACCCAATCTGTTCATAGAAGCGCTCGGACGCCCTCTTCTTCTCCTCGGTGTTGATGTCATCCAACTGACCAAGTCCCACGTTGGACAGGCCATCGGTGCACACCACAATCTGTCGTTGTAGAACGTTACGGTCAGTTCGTTGTTTTTCGCTGGGCCAGCCGAACACAAACACGAAACACATGTGAAGTGCTCCACGTTACCTCTGAGCCAGGATTCTGCGAGGCCATGCCAACGCACACGAGGAGAGCAGGCCCAAGCGCGGTGGGTCCGGTCTCCTCGAGGGCAAAGAGCTTGGAGGAGAGGGCCTTCTTAGCCTTGCTGATGGGGGCGCCAGGCGACTGCGACTTGCCCAGCTGAAGCAGCTGGTCGTAGTCGTCCAGTTTGTCGCCTGTAATCGTGACAGGCGGCTGGTAGCCGTCGCCAACCACCGTTACCTCGCCATTGAACGTCACTGCACGAAAGCGCAGGTCAGCGACACTGTCTGTTGTGTTGATGGTGCCGAGTTGGAGTTGTGAACGTACCAAGTCCTACGCGACGCGAAGGCTGTTCCTGCTCCATCTGCGCGAGCTGGGCGTCGACGGCGGCCTGAACAGACTGGAGACGGCTCACGTAGGTAACGTTACGCTTCTCACGCGGAGCCCACTGGTCTGCCCTTTCGGTGTTGAGTGACTCGAGGCGCTTGCGAGCCTCGGCGCCCTTGAGCTCGTGCTTGCCCTCGATCTCCGTGGTCACGCACCTGAGTAGGCGCCACACACAAAGCGTCAATCACACACACAGAGTGAAACAAATCAGCGGTCGGTGGTGGGTGGAGCAAGACGTACATGCTGCCAGAGATGTCGATGCAGAAGATGAGCTGCTTCTCGCTGGACGATGAACCGCGGGAGACGGCTTCGTTGGGAGGCTCAAGAATGTAGTCGACCGACTCCTCTCCCGGCATCTACATAAAGATCGTGAGCGACAAGGCCTGCTGAAGCCAAGAGGGCTCGCAGCTGCACATTGAAGGGCAATGTGGTACGTACCTCCTCTTCGTCGAGGTTGAGCTCGTTGTTGGTGCCGCAGAAGAGACAATGCCAGACGGGCGTGCTCTTCTCCTTGTCCTTGCCTTCGCTTGCCATCTTGGCCACGTCGATGGCCGAGAGTGCCGCCTGGCACTTGGCGCAGAAGACAGGGTCGCCTACACGACAAAACCGAGACGTCAGAAGGGCGTCGGCCATTGTAGAAGAAGAAGAAGAAGCTTTGGTGGCGTACCGGTGGCGACGGGGACGTCCTGGGTCAGGGTGCCGAGCTTGACCGAGATAACGTTCGTGTTTGCCTTGCGTACTTTCCTCTTCCTCATCTGTATGGATGGATTATTAGAACGTGATGTGATTTTGATTGATTGCAGGCGAAGGGCATGTTGAACGGTGGGGTACCTTGGAGAAGAGGCTCCTCTGTTGCTGAGGAGGGGGCGGCGGGGGCGCGGCAGAAGATGACGTCGTTGTGTCGGCAAACAGATCGCCGTTGACCTCCGATCTTTCAAGAAGGTCCTCCTGCTCATCCCATTCCACTTCCTCCTCCGAATCCGCGTTCATGTCCACCCATTCCGATCCAGCTTCCATCTTGATTGTCTGGGTTGAAAATAATACTGAGATTGTGACCGCAGGCGATCGACTTTATGTTTGCCTGCGCTTCAGCCAAAAGTGTTCGCCGAAGAGGCAGAACAGAACTCGAGAGA